CCACATAGATGGGCATTCAAAAAATTCAATTTCAGGCGACACTGTAGACTACACCCCAGTAAGCATGAACCGACACCGACGCCTTTTGGATGTCTATTATTGGTGCAGTCCGGACCGGTCTTGATTTCCATGTCCACTTTGGTTTTTGGTCCGGTCTGGACTGGCCTTGATTTGGTCCAAACATAGACATCTATAAATTAAGGATTTTCAACTTTCATTCAGAACAGAAAATTAACCTGATTTCAACATCCGGAAAATACCAATTTTAAACTTCTGGAAAATACGTATTTTTACCTTCCATTCAGAAACTAAATTGAACCTAACTACAAGGTCTGGAAAATACGTAATTAGACGTCTTTTCAACACAATTTGTCTTACTTGGATGATTCTAGCTTTGTAGGGGTGGAATTTTTTTTGTTTCACCTTGGGCGGCAGAACGGCCAGAACGTTAGATAGTAACGTTATATACTGTGCTATTCTATTCGGTTCTGTTATGTAGAATACTAATAAAACATGATGTGACTTTGCAGACATTGATTCAGCTTTGATCTAACTTTAGTAGGCTAAACGAGCACCATTGTGAGAAGTGGCGGAGCATCGCTCCAGTGCGCTCAGGCTCCACTACACCATGGCCACAAACTCAACCATATACTGTAAACATTATCCTACATTCTCCAGCAGGGAACGTAACAAACATACAACCACACAAGAACTGTAGCCATGGTTTTGGAATAAGAAATATATCAGAAACATGTCATGTGTATCTGAGACTTTTATTAAGGCACTGACATACAGATTTTATATGATATTTTTCTTAAAATACCCTTCCCATACTCAACTGCGCGTGAGGAGGGATTCACGTGAGAGGTGTCTTTGACAGAAAAGTGAAGTGAAGGAGATGTAACTGGTGCTGCTGGTACTTGCACGGATGAAACAATAGGAAATAACTTGAGTGTAACCCGACTCTTTATCATGGAACCAACGGGCCCTTCAGAGAAGGTGATGGATAAATTAGTTGAATAATTATGGTTACAATACCACAATCAAAGATAATTCTATGATGATTACATTACTGCGGTGAAGTTAGCTTTATATTAAAGATTCAGACTTTGCTCTTCAATACCTCTTCAACGGAATATGCAAGGATGATATACTTTTTAGTATTGTCAATCGGCTGATGACAGCGAACAAGTTAAACATTTGCTATCCTCTGCTCAGACAGTTAAGGGATCGTCTTAAAACTGCAATGCCTACTATTGCATGTAAATGAAAAACGTCAATACCTTCTCAACCACATGACATAGAGATCTCAAACCAATTTGACATTGTAAAGAGACCTCTTCTCTCGAATGCAATTAGTTTAACTTTGTTTAAGTTTATTTATAAAATAATTCAGTTTAAATTAAAGTACTTCAAAAAACACGTCAATATCGTCCACCCCATATGACTTTCATGAATATAACCAACTGTTATTTTTTTTTTTTTTTTTTTTTGGGAGGGTAGATTAGATTTAATATTGCAGATAGATTGTAGCTTCCGTCAATGTAATTGTCTGCATCATTTCCAATCCCCCATATATTGTTTGGTAAATATATATATTTTTTGGTAAATATATATATCATTTTTTTTTTGTTGGTAAATAAATATATATATATATATATATACACATTGGGGGAAAAAAGTATTTAGTCAGCCACCAATTGTGCAAGTTCTCCCACTTAAAAAGATGAGAGGCCTGTAATTTTCATCATAGGTACACGTCAACTATGACAGACAAATTGAGAAAAAAAAATCCAGAAAATCACATTGTAGGATTTTTTATGAATTTATTTGCAAATTATGGTGGAAAATAAGTATTTGGTCATCAACAAACAAGCAAGATTTCTGGCTCTCACAGACCTGTAACTTCTTCTTTAAGAGGCTCCTCTGTCCTCCACTCGTTACCTGTATTAATGGCACCTGTTTGATTTTGTTATCAGTATAAAAGACACCTGTCCACAACCTCAAACAGTCACACTCCAAACTCTACTATGGCCAAGACCAAAGAGCTGTCAAAGGACACAAGAAACAAAGTTGTAGACCTGCACCAGGCTGGGGATACTGAATCTGCAATAGGTAAGCAGCTTGGTTTGAAGAAATCAACTGTGGGAGCAATTTTTAGGAAATGGAAGACATACAATACCACTGATAATCTCCCTCGATCTGGGGCTCCACGCAAGATCTCACCCCGTGGGATCAAAATGATCACAAGAAAGGTGAGCAAAAATCCCAGAACCACACGGGGGGACCTAGTGAATGACCTGCAGAGAGCTGGGACCAAAGTAACAAAGCCTACCATCAGTAACACACTACGTCGCCAGGGACTCAAATCCTGCAGTGCCAGATGTGTCCCTCTGCTTAAGCCAGTACATGTTCTGGCCCGTCTGAAGTTTGCTAGAGTGCATTTGGATGACCAGAAGAGGATTGGGAGAATGTCATATGGTCAGATGAAACCAAAATATAACTTTTTGGTAAAAACTCAACTCGTTGTGTTTGGAGGACAAAGAATGCTGAGTTGCATCCAAAGAACACCATACCTACTGTGAAGCATGGGGGTGGAAACATCATGCTTTGGGGCTGTTTTTCTGCAAAGGGACCAGGACGACTGATCCGTGTAAAGGAAAGAATGAATGGGGCCATGTATCGTGAGATTTTGAGTGAAAACCTCCTTCCATCAGCAAGGGCATTGAAGATGAAACGTGGCTGGGTCTTTCAGCATGACAATGATCCCAAACACACCGCCCGGGCAATGAAGGAGTGGCTTCGTAAGAAGCATTTCAAGGTCCTGGAGTGGCCTAGCCAGTCTCCAGATCTCAACCCCATAGAAAATCTTTGGAGGGAGTTGAAAGTCCGTGTTGCCCAGCGACAGCCCCAAAACATCACTGCTCTAGAGGAGATCTGCATGGAGGAATGGGCCAAAATACCAGCAACAGTGTGTGAAAACCTTGTGAAGACTTACAGAAAACGTTTGACCTGTGTCATTGCCAACAAAGGGTATATAACAAAGTATTGAGAAACTTTTGTTATTGACCAAATACTTATTTTCCACCATAATTTGCAAATAAATTCATTAAAAATCCTACAATGTGATTTTCTGGATTTTTTTTCTCATTTTGTCTGTCACGTGTACCTATGATGAAAATTACAGGCCTCTCATCTTTTTAAGTGGGAGAACTTGCACAATTGGTGGCTGACTAAATACTTTTTTTCCCCCACTGTATCCTCTGGCATGTTGATGTTAATGTGTTGATGTTCTCCATATCCATAGTCAGAATGATTTTGCAGTGCATGGTGATCGAACAGGTTTCCTGTTATATTCATCAGAGGTGTAGGGAGGGTGAAGTCTGTGAATCCCAAAAATAGTAGTTATACAGATGATTAGCAAAACATGCACATGACAGTACTCATTCCTTGGTTTTTGTGGTAAATGTGAATGAAAAAACTGTTTTAATAATGGTTTTCATAAACATACCTTGTCCATAATGTAGAGGCCTATGGGATATTCATTGAAGAGGTAAGGGAGGAGGATGGTAAATCTGATCTGCATAACATACCAAGTCCCAATTGACATACCTCTGTATGCCTCCTCGTCTGTATACCTACAGACACAAAAGTGAGCAGTTCAGTCATCTGCACCCAATACAGCTATCCTTCAACATATTCTTATAGCCTACAGTACATATTCTTACCTCTTTGTTGATTAATATCCATTGAATTGTGCCCATTTTCTGTTTTAGAAAGATTTGCACAAATATGAAAAGAAGAATCAGAAAACAATATCAATTTAGACCATACAATGGACCAACCTTACCTTAAATTGAGGAGATCTTTACATTTTTCAATGAAGTGCCTGCACCTGCTGTCCTTTCAAATCCAAATGTTTCAGATGAGCAATTAGGTTCATGCCAGAACCCCCACCAACTAAGGAGGTACCGCGATGAACCCCACCTCCTATGGGGTTCTTGGAAGAACCTTTTGGGTGCAATTGTCAGTGCCAAGATCCCTAAGGTTCTTCGAAGATCTTAGAAGAACCCTTGTTGAACTTCAGTTTCTTGGCAATTTCTCACATTGAATAGCCTTAATTTCTCAGAACAAGAATGGACTGACGAGTTTCAGAAGAAAGTTATTTGTTTCTTGCTATTTTGAGCCTGTAATCGAACCCACAATTGCTGATGCTGCAGATACTCAACTAGTCTCAAGAAGGCCAGTTGTATTGCTTCTTTAATCAGCACAACAGTTTTCAGCTGTGCTAACATAAATTGCAAAAGGGTTTTCTAATGATAATTTAGCCTTTTAAAATGATAAACTTGGATTAGCAAACACAAAGTACCATTGGAACACAGGACTAATGGTTGCTGGTAATGGGCCTCTGTACGCCTATGTATATATTCCATTAAAAATCAGCAGTTTCCAGCTACAATAGCCATTTACAACATGAACAATGTCTACACTGTATTTCTGATCAATATTATGTTATTTTAATGGACAAAAAAAAAAATCCTTTCGAAAACAAGGAACTTTATAAGTGACCCCAAACTTTTGAACGGTAGTGTAGGTAATCACTGTAGTATAAGGGATCACCATATAGGGATCACTGTAGTATAAGGGATCACCACATAGGGATCACTGTAGTATAAGGGATCACCACATAGGGATCACTGTAGTATAAGGGATCACCACATAGGGATCACTGTACTATAAGGGATCACCACATAGGGATCACTGTAGTATAAGGGATCACCACATAGGTAATCACTGTAGTATAAGGGATCACCACATAGCTAATCACTGTAGTATAAGGGATCACCACATAGGGATCACTGTAGGGATAAGGGATCACCACATAGGGATCACTGTAGGGATAAGGGATCACCACATAGGGATCACTGTAGTATAAGGGATCACCACATAGGGATCACTGTAGTATAAGGGATCACCACATAGGGATCACTGTAGGGATAATGGATCACCACATAGGTAATCACTGTAGGGATAAGTATCACCACAAAGGGATAATTGTAGGGATAAGGGATCACAACATTTTTTTTTACATTTTACATTTTTAGTCATTTAGCAGACGCTCTTATCCAGAGCGACTTACAGTTAGTGAGTGCATACCAGGGCCGGCCCAAGCGATCGTATATGCCTAGGGCCGGCCCTGGCACTATATAAGGAATAGGTGCCATTTGGGACTCATGTTAAACTTAGGGTCAGGTCAATTTAGGACGGGAATTATTGCACTTTATTGACAAATAACATGCCTTGCTCAGTTGAAATGAGTATAGAATCTTTGAGATCCAATTGGGGGTTCTGTTCTTAATTCCCTGTGTCCATTGCATATAAGTTGATACCTGATCCCCTAAGTTGAATGTGAACTCTGCTTCTTCTCCCCTCCCAGTCATCCCTAGACACATAGTGATAACAACCCACATCACCCGGGCCGAGAGAGAGAGGGAGAAGAGGAAGGAGCTCCTGAAGGATGAGGAGATAAGGAAGAAGCTGGAGGATTATAATAAGCAGTGGAGAGCCCAGTCCCTGCTTAGAAAACAACAAAAACGTAAAGAGGAGAGGGAGAGGATGAAGGAACAGTCCCTAAATGAAAAGCAGGAGAAATGGCTGGAGCAGATGAATCTGGAGGCTGATGCTCTAATCAAGAAGTGCAGCACCCAGTACATCACCCGCTGTCCAACCAAGAGCCCGTTGGATCTGGAGAAGGCCAGCAGGAGAGGCCAAGGAAGCAACAGGCATGGGCAGAGAACCAGCAGGGGGGGAGCAGAGAACCAGCAGGGGGGGCCAGAGAACCAGCAGGGGGGGGCAGAGAGCCAGCAGGGGGGGGCCAGAGAGCCAGCAGGGGTGGCAGAGAGACAGCAGATAGAGGCTCAAGAAGAGGCTGAGACAGCAGAGCCAAAGTGCAAGAAAAAGAAAACTCCAGGCATCTGGAAGAGAATTAAGATGGGGTAAATACTGTTTCAAATGTATTGATGTTTTACACTGTTAATATATATGTTGCCACTTTAAAAAGTGACATTATCCAAATGTGAGTGTTTAGTGTACATGCAACACACATGTATGTAGATACTTACCCGTCTCTGTGATTTCTTACAGCATTCCTAACCTGCTGTCTGCTGAGAGCTGCAACTCAACAAAGCCACAGTGCCACTGGGGTTACGCTGGTAATACATACAAGTGTCGCCCAATAATTCCTCCTCCTCTTCAATTCTTCATGCCTTTTTAAGCTCCTCAAGCCAGCAAGTATCCTCTTAATCAAGGCAACAAACCGTCTAAGGTCATCAACTCTCCTCCCCAGACCACAGATTATCATCTTTATCCGTTGAATTCATCTCTCCTCACCACCTTACCTGTCCTAGAAAATATCCCCAAATGGACATGGTTTAAACAGAAGTCTTCCCCTCTGTCCAGTGGCTCCACAGACCAGAGTTTCTCATCTTTATTCAAGTTGAACGCAACTCTGATCATTTCCACCACCCCACCTGTCCCTTTTTATTTATATGGAAACCGAACCGAACCTTCATGGAAACCGAACCGAACCTTCATGGAAACCGAACCGAACCTTCTTTAACTATTTATAATTAACCATGCCACTCGAGTGGTTAGGATTCGGCCGCCTAGCCATCGATTTTCCGTAAATTCCTTTATTCTCACAACACGGGTTATTCTGGGTTTAGCCCGTGTGTACTTAGACTTGCATGGCTTAATCTTTGAGACAAGCATATGCTACTGGCAGGATCAACCAGGTAGCCCCTCGCAACGTAGAGGTTGTACCTGGGTGCGCTAAGCGGAAGACAGCCCGGGCACGGTCCGACCCCGTCAGGGGAGGAGGCCCGGTTGCAATCCGCCGCACACCCAGCGGGAGGCCCAGAACTGCCCGCGGCCGGAGCCACGAGTGCCAGGGCGCCGCTCAAGAGGTCTTTTTCTAGCTGGAGGGTTTAGTAGGAACCGCACAACCGAGCCAACAACAGGGTGTGAGAAACACGTGTCTCTGGCGCCGGTGCGTAGCAGGGTGGACCTCACTCCTGGCATCGCTGCCTGGGTGTGCCACTCCCCGAACCGGAGCACCAACGTAGGGCCACTGGGTCAGACGGGTCGACTTGGTTTCGCTCGGATGGTGCTCGGCTGGAGCGTATCGGGGAAGCGGGGGTAAACCGTCTCCGAAAGGGGCTCCACCGATAGAGGCGAATCCACATGGGGCGGGAGGAACCGTCCGTCCGAACACTGGCCAGAGGCCGGCCGACAGGGGCCCTCCCAGGTGGATAACGAATGCCAATCTGTCATTATATGGACCCCTCCTGTCCTAGACCTAGAAGATAACTCCCAATAAATTATGACAAAGTTAAGCTAATTAAAAAAGCAATATTGTTGTTAAGGTCATCAACTCTCCTCCCCAGACCACAGATTCTCATCTTTATCCGTGGAATTCATCTCTCCTCACCACCTTACCTGTCCTAGAAAATATCCCCAAATGGACATGGTTTAAATAGAAGTCTTCCCCTCAGTCCAGTGGCTCCACAGACCAGAGTTTCTCATCTTTATTCAAGTTGAACGCAACTCTGATCATTTCCACCACCTCACCTGTCCTAGAAAATATCCCCAAATGGACATGGTTTGACATGGACCCCTCCTGTCCTAGACCTAGAAGATAACTCCCAATAAATGATGACACGAGTTGAGAGGCACAGGGACAGCGATGGAGCAGCACCCCTCGGACGAAGAGCCATTTCAGGATTAAGTGTCTTGCTCTAGGGCACAATGACAGGAGATGGTCCCTGAGAGTAGAGCCTAGCAGCCCCACGGTTGCTAGTTCAGTTCCCACTGCTGGTCTTAGGAGGTGTTAAGGGGAGGTGCTGAGGAGGAGGTCTGGGAGAAGGTCTGCAGGTAGCCTTAACCGGACCAATAGCAACTAAGTTGCTGGCTCAATCCCCGGGCAGAGCTGCTCAAGTCAGGCCAGTGATGTTTGATGATGTTACTTTTGTTTGCAAAGTTTTAAGCTTGAATAAAATAATGAATTAAAAAAGCAATATTGTTGTTACGGTGATGATTGTTTTGTTATGTATTAGAATTGAAACATCCAGTAGTCATGGTAGATGTTCGACTTTCAATGAGACACCTAACATTCCATCAGTTTGCTACAATGTGTGACATGTTATATTAGAGAGTCATCTATGCACATCTATTTTAGACCATAGGAGAAGTATCAGATTGAAATAGCTTCAACTGAGTGCCTTTTGGGGAGTTTAACTTTTATTTCACCTCATTTTAACATTCTGCCATAAAGAGCACATGTTCAACTTAATAAAAAACATGTTTTTCCCCATCTGGAGTAAAAAATACATACTATAGTAATTGCCTATTAAGTGCCAAATAAAGTAACAGGGTTGACTGTAACAGGGTTGACTATTTCATTTGGAATCGACCAGAAATCCCTGTGTGACAGGGGGAATGGAATGCAAGTTTGCCAAACAAATGTAAATTGTTGAAATCATTCTAGACCTTCTATCTATGGGTAACAGGGTTGTAATGTTATGCTTGACCCAGTGGTGATTTTAGCATGTCGATGTTGGTGGGGCAAACTCCGGCATTTTTTTTCCTTCCAGATTCATGCCAGCAAAGCCACAACACAACACTAAACAATACATTGATTGCACTATAACGGTGACAAACGGTGCCGAAAAATGTATGCACTCACTAACTGTAAGTCGCTCTGGATAAGAGTGTCTGCTAAAAATTTTTAAATGTACAATTCTTGACCACAAATTCTCAATGGGATTAAGGTCTGGGGAGTTTCCTGGCCATGGACCCAAAATGTGGATGTTTTGTTTTTTTGTTCCCCGAGCCACTTAGTTATCACTTTTGCCTCATGGCAAGGTGCTCCATCATGCTGGAAAAGGCATTGTTCGTCACCAAACTGTTCTTGGATGGTTGGGAGAAGTTGCTCTCGGAGGATGTGTCGGTACCATTCTTTATTCATGGCTGTGTTCTTAGGCAAAATTGTGAGTGAGCCCACTCCCTTGGCTGAGAAGCAACCCCACACATGAATCAGGATGCTTTACTGTTGGCATGACACAGGACTGATGGTAGTGCTCACCTTGTCTTCTCCGCTCACCTTGTCTTCTGGGCGGCAGGTAGCTTAGTGGTTAAGAGCGTTGTACCAGTAATCGAAAGGTCGCTGGTTCTAATACCCGAGCCGACTAGGTGAAAAATCTGTCGATGTGCCCTTGAGCAAGGCACTTAACCCTAATTGCTCCTGTAAGTCGCTCTGGATAAGAGCGTCTGCTAAATGACCATTTTTTTTTTTTTTTTTTATTTAAGATTTTTTCAGGATTCCCCAAACAATCGGAAAGGGGATTCATCAGAGAAAATGACTTTACCCCAGTCCTCAGTAGTCCAATCCCTGTACCTTTTGCAGATTATCAGTCTGTTCCTGATGTTTTTCCTGGAGAGAAGTGGCTTCCTCGCTGCCCTTCTTGACACCAGGCCATCCTCCAAAAGTCTTTGCCTCACTGTGCGTACAGATGCACTCACACCTGCCTGCTGCCATTCCTGAGCAAGCTCTGCACTGGTGGTGCCCCGATCCCACAGCTGAATCAACTTTAGGAGACGGTCCTGGAGCTTGTTGGACTTTCTTGGGTGCCCTGAAGCCTTCTTCACAACAATTTACCCTATCTCCTTTAATTTCTTGATGATCCGATAAATGGTTGATTTAGGTGCAATCTTACTAGCAGCAATATCCTTGCCTGTGAAGCCCTTTTTGTGCAAAGCTATGATGACGGCACGTGTTTCCTTGTAGGTTACCATGGTTAACAGAGGAAGAACAATGATTTCGAGCACCACCATCCTTTTAAAGCTTCCAGTCTGTTATTATAACTCAATCAGCATGACACTCGTTGTCCTCGTCAACACTCTCACCTGTGTTAACTTGGAATTTCCTTGTGGGCAAATTTTGTCAGCTCCGACGGGGAAAATACGCTTGGAACGGTCATCCAACTCAGAATTCCAAGTCGTGAACTCAGACCTCTTTCTAGAGCTCCGACCTGAAGATCATTGACGGGCTGATTCAACCTTGTTTTTTCTGAGTTCCCAGTTGTCTTGAAAGCACCCTAAATCCAGAGAATGCCAGACTTTGATGACAAAGTTTGATGACAAAATTTGCCCACAAGGACCGCCGTGCCACCTTCCTCTTCAAATGAACACAGCATGATGTTGACATGATCAGTCCAATCAAAGCTACGGTAGATATAACATTATTTGACGTCATTTTATCTGTGGCCAATGATCTTGAGCTTTCTTGTATGGGCACTTCTAATGTAACTTTATAGCAGCACCCAAGGGGCTTGAATTTCCGAGCTCTCCCCATAGATTTTGCGGTGACGTAGTGTCCCCATGAGTAACAGAACACTGAGCCAATCACGGCGCAACTAGAGAACATTTCCAACCCCTACGCTCCATATTTTCCGCTGGCTGTCCCACCACCACTGAAAGCTCTGAGTTAGGCTGAAATACCTGCATTTTAGAGCTGCCTTACTCAAGAAAGATACCAAGTTTATATGCTGCTTTATTAACTCAATGATATATTTTTTTACATTGTTTGCTAAACTGATATGTGAAAAGAATTAATGCCAGAATTACATGCAAAACAGGCAAAATTGTTATTTTTAACAGGTGGGGCTCAAAACAGGTGGGGCTCCGCTCCTCCTGCCCTGAATTATGGGTCGCCACTGCTTAAAGCAACAAAAATAAAAGTAGGGTGGTTGGTCAGGCGTATAACGAACATCTAGGAAGCCAAAGGTTGCATGTTCAAATCTCATCAAGGACAACTTTAGCTAATTAGCAACTACTTACAACTTTTAGCTACTTTGCAACTAATTAGCATGTTAGCTAACCCTTTAACCTAACTCCTAACCCTAACATTAACCCCTAACCTAACTAACTTTAACCACCTAGCT